ATATATAATATTTAGAAACTAACCATAAAATACATTATAATTTATAAACAACTATAGCAGATAAATTCACGATTAGAAAGTAATTTAAAATATCTAAACATTTGTAGAATAAGTTTTATTCTAATCACAAAAATAGTCTTTTGTTTGAATTGAGACAATAAATGTTTTATAAGAAAATATAATTTCCATTATTAGTCGAATATTACAAAAGCATAGATAAAGTGTTATAAACATAACTTACAGTATATTTATAATAAACAAGGTTTCCTGTAATTGTACCAAAACTTGGTTTAAAATAAAAAGTTTTGATAAAATAATTACACAAAAATATTTTTCATTATTATAAAAACATTTAATGAATAATAACAACTCAACTAATATATCATACTTAACATCAAGAAAGTAATATAAAATTATTTGTAAACATAGTATTGACTTTGGAATGACATTAATGCCAAACATGGAGTGCAAAATTATATGCTATATTCATACTACTAAATTGGGAATTATAAATATCCTGAATTGTGATAAGCCTTGTTTTGTGTGTTCATCAAAATTGACGACTATTTTGTATTTGAATGATAAAAAAATTTATTTATTAAAAACGATTTGTTGGACAAATTGTTATTAAATGATTGTTGAATGGAGTGAATGTGAAAGAAACGTACAAAATGAGCATTAATTGCAACAAATCTCTACTTTATCTAAAAGTTCATTAAAACCGAAAAAGTTCAGGTCTTTTGACACAAAATCCTTAAGCAATGAATGAATAAATGTTTTTAAAAGTCAAGTATCAAGTTGTATTGAAATGCATAATAAATGCATTTATACAGCGATCTAATTATAAAAGACTATAAAACTGTTACAATCATTCAACGCCAAGTCTTATATAATTTAAATAAAATTATTTTTCGTTTGTGATAACAGGTTCTCAATAGTCGTATTCAATATTTGAGATCATATGTAAGCAATTGAGGTCTCATTTGGCATCAGTAATGCCTTAACTTATTTAAAATTTCTGTTTCTTTAGTTGATATGCCGTTGCATAACATCATTACATTTGTCCTTCATTTTACACATTATCATAGCTTTCAATATATTGTCAAACAATAACTCAATAGTTACTACAGTACTATACATACGAATTATATTTTATCATAAATTATAGACTAGTGATGACCGCACATATGAATACGTCTACAGTATGTGTCTGAATATGTCAAAGACTATGCGGTTGTATGTCTTAATCCAATATTTGACTTCACAATGAATATTGTATTATATTTGGTTAGTTTTAAGAGAAAAAGCAGATTTTCCGAAACAATAATCGCATTTCATGTTTGTTTGAAAGCATTTCTCAAAACTCTGTGAATGAGAGTCTCCAGGCTTTCAGAAATGAGTCGATAAGGGATGTGATAAAAAGGTCATCGCTTTTGCATTTATAGCCAACAAACAGATAAATATAAGAATATTTTTGACACTACAGTGCAGTACATACTGTGCAGCACTTATTGTGTACACATTTGGTATACAGTATACTACGGAATAATCATACGATAAATTCAAACCACAAAACCTTCACTTCGTTATCACGTCTAAAGTCTTCAACACAAGTGTATACTTATCCTCTCTCTCTCTCTCTCTCTCTCACTCACACACACACTCACTCACTCACTCACTCGCTAGTACACACACACAAACACACTATTAATAAATACAAAACCAGTCTTTTCTGATTTAAGTTTATTTGAAAACCGCTATTAATTTAAATTTCTATTAATACAAATATATATTTTAATTAAAATTTTTTATTTCGTATTGAAACCTAAAATCAATTTAACAAATTTGTTGTTAAAAGTTATTTAAATATATAAAACATTTTTCATATGAATACAAATTCAAATACAAAAATTCATAATTTAATAGATATTTTCATTATAATACACTACAATATAATTTAAATGCATTTTAAAAATGTTAGATTTAAATATAATACGAACAAAAGTAAATTAATTTTCTGATCTTGAAAATACAAATTAATAAATATTATGAAAAATTGAGACAAATTTACTTAAATAACGGAATGAGATTTTGTTGATTTTAGTGTCAAAATATAGTTTTAAACAACTTTTGGTCCAATTGTTTAGAAGTTAGGCAACTGTTATGTATGTCATACATAAGACACAAACATTTCAAACATTTTAAGCATATCTTTGGCTCAACTCATATACAAATCTATGACATAATAACAACAGATAATTCTGTGCTTAATTGAATGCTTAAATTCAAAAATATATATGTATTGAACATAACATTTTAAAATCATTTCTAAATTAATTACTTTATTTACTACTAATAAACACTTTATACGTTAATTTAAATAATCATTAAAAATATGAGCATTTCTTTGAATAATAATAATTATAATAATTAATATTAACTTAAATAATAAGAACATTCATTGCAATCATTAATCGGTTTATAAACACATCAGACATTCATATAAGTTATTATAGAGAAAACAAAAAATAAAAAACAATTTTTTAAATAATAGTAAAGTATTGATTAAATTATTTTTGTGTTTTAATGATATTTTATAAATAAGTTTAAATTAAGAATTAAAAGCAATAAAATTAAATTAATGTAATCGTAAAGTATATTATGAAATATTTGAACAAAAATTGAGGCCTTTTTCGCTGCCTTTCATTCATTATACAAATATATATATATATATATTATAATCATTATATGAAATATTAATAAAAAATTATAAATATTTTAAATATTATATAAACAGCAATATTTTCAATTAAAATCAAGGCACTTTTAAATCCAATTAAGTTTTTTGTTTTATATTTATATATATATATATTAATTAATGATAAAACATAATAAAAGAAAAACTACAATCACTTTAAGGTTGATTTTAAATAATAAATATTTAAATAAATTTTAGCTGCAAATAGATATTCAATGGAAATGAAACAAATGTCAAATGCAGTCAAAGTATACTTAACTTATTGTATATTTTATTCATTTCGAGTAACAGTGCTCTTAACTTGCCGTTTGTAATGCTATACTCAACTATGTTTCAATTTATATGATTGCTATTTTAGACATATCAAAATATACAATAAATTAATTGTTGCAATAATTATTAAATTAATTAATTTGATGAATACAATTATAATAGTAGTCATTATAATCTTCAGAGTAATAGTAATAATAGTGATTCTTAACTGAAAAAACAAATGAAATGATAATTGCTATTTCTGAATCAAAAGTAGCTATTATTCAATTTTGATTGACATTTATATATATAGTTCAATATTATGTTTATATTAAATAAATTTATAACAATTTTGAGCCATTGTTTTGGGACACAAACTCTGACTAATGAAGACTAATGTAAACCAAAAGTGATATAAAAAGCAAACGAAGAGAAGAGTGAGAAGTGGAGGAAGTGTTGAATGTGTTGGTCCCGAGAATTGTTAAATAATACGAAAGCGATTCACACAAAGTATTGTAAATTACCTGAGAGTGGCTTAGGTTAGGGTTAAAGAGTGAACAAAAGGGCAAATTCCAGACCATTCTCTCTTATGGGACAAAAGTAGGTATATGTAGAGGGTTTGGGATGGGGTGCAAGTGAATCCCGTTCCCCTTATTCCGAGTCATTGTTGCCATTAATGGAGAAACGAGTGAAAATGGGAAGACGGGGCAGACCTTTGGCCACATCGATGGGTGAGCCGGGCGTCTGACTCTGGCTCTGGTTGTGCTCCAACTTGAGTGCCTCCACATCGGACGCTATGCTGTCTACTGGCGAGTCAGGTGCCACTGGGTATGACACAGGTGTCAGCTTCGATGCCTGTGGGGGCGGTGTTGTGGACATGGATTGCATTCCGTCATTCATGTGCTGATCATAAGCGGTCGTATTGTGTGAGGTCTGGAACTGATTGGACAATATGTTGGGCATAACCGGCGACTCATGAGTGATGTCTGCGTTGAGGTTCGCTGTCATTCCAAACGACTGGCAGAGAGTCGGTTGCGAACCACCGAAAGCCGAAGACTTGTTTGTGGGCACAAGTGATGCGAAGTCGGGCGAGAAGGAGAAGGCGTTGTTAGCACACGAGCCCATGTGATTGGTTGGCGACACGAATGGGTTGAACGGGTCTTCAGTGAAGAAGCTGTTGAGCGACGTCGGGCTTCCACTCTGACTACTGGGCGGAGAGATCTCTCCCGAAGAACCCAAACTATAGCTACCAATCGATAGCGCTTTCGGACGTAACGGATGAGAGCTTTGATTGGAGTGATAGACACCACCGAAGCCATTGTTGTTGGCGTTATTCATCATCTGTTCCTGCATTCGGTTCTGTGAGTGTTGGCCGTTGTTGTTGAGGCCGTTAGCAGTAGTGGTCGAGCCTCCAGTGGCCGACAGGTTGGAAAGCATACTTTTCTTGGACTCCTCGCTGTTGTGGATGAAGTGACAGCGCGGACCGTACGGACAGAAGCCCGTCGAGTGGAAACTCTTGCAGTTCTCAGTCTTAAACTTGGGATGTCTGGTGATAATCCTGAGCTCATGGCCTCCGTGTGCGAACTGACACTTGTCACCGTACTTACAGGTGCCCACCTCTCCGAAACTGCGACACAACTCAGTCTTGTATCGCGAAGACATAGGACCGGCCACTGTATTGGACGTGGAGTTGAGTCGCATCAGTTGTTGGGCCGACTTGTCTGCCGGCGGCTCACTATAACTGCGGTCCAACTTCTTGTGCTCTTTGCTGTTGCCATTCATTGTGGTATTGGTTGGCGAGCACTGGGAGGACAGGCCTCTGACCAGAGTCATCGGCGTCTGAGTATTGGTCACACCGATGGCACTCTTCTGATGCATTGGTGGCACTGTTGAGGAGGACTGTAGGGGTCTATGGGATGAATGACTTAAGTTTATGGGAACACTAGTAGTAGTGGTCACTAAGCGGCGGGTCATCACATTTGCAGAGTTGTTGGCATTAGTGGTGTGATTGGTGTTGATTGCATTGATAGCATTGATGGCATTATTATTATTATTGTTTTGTTGCACTGAATTCAAAACTGATTGAAGGTTTGACTTCTTGTCTAATTGAGAGCCAAAACTGTTTTTGGATGAGTTCTGCAAAGTTGTTGATCCGTTCGACTGTATCACCAAAAAAGACAAATAATTGTAAAAAATCTCATCAGATATACATTGAAAGCATTGAAAGCCAATGTATGGGAATGTATGGGAATGTATGGCAATGTATGACAGCCTCAATGCCTCATAGCCTACATTCAAACTAGACTTGGGCTCAATCGAGGTATGAGTTGTTGTATGCCCTGACCTAAACACCAAACAACTAACTGTAAGCACTGTTAGCACTGCTAGCATACCATCAAATACACGACTAACACATACTGTTCACTACATATACCACTACTCTATCCCTTATCCATGCAATGCCCACACCATTCATACTAAGCTTACACTGCATTCAATGCAATACTATTTATATCATATAAGACTGTTTGCGACAAAACAATGCATGTCTTCATTGAAATGAATGCAATTAACAGACAAAAGACAATAAGTGTTGTGGAGGTCGTGGTGTGTGTGCGGACACCTGCCCTCATGGCTGAGTCCTGTGCCGACCCAACACACCATCGCTACAATCGCTTCAATAACATCATAACCTATTTATGAGTGTTTTGCGATAAACTATACAAACTATACAATCACACAGTCATCCACTCATACAGACATACAAACACTATTAATACACCGATTGTTCACTAATGCATTCATACAGACAATCAGTTTGCATGCAATCTTACAGGACAGGACTGGGAGGACAGTAGCAAAACATGGGACTAACTGTACAACCGATGGGTGATATGAGAGGAAAGGCTAACTTACGCGGTAGTGGTCACCGAAGTCCCCGAAGAATGTGGACGACACCAATGCGGCTGACATTGTGGGCAATGAATGGAAAAACTTATAAATAATAATAAGTTATATAAATATTTAGCAGAAGATG